TAGAAAATAAAAAGAAAAAACCTTTTCCAACCTATATGGTACGTCATATTGCACGCGGTTACGATATCAGAATTTTTTTATGCAAACAGCTTCTGTACCAGTGCCGCAAAAACCGGGTGTGCAGAGTGGGCCGCGCACACGGGCCCCAAGGCTTACATATATTTGAGAGGCCTCCTAGTCCCAGCCTAAAATAAACTACACTTTACAAACACACAATTATTTAATAATATTATATTATTATTTTATAATAAAAGAAACTTTTTTTAAAATTCAGGTAGGATGTTATAATATTTTAGAATAATTTAATATTTATTTAACAATGAGTCCATTGAGTATTTGAGTAGGCATACAACATATCTACCTAAACTACTTTAATAAATTTACTACATAATTATGTTGTGAAGTATAATATACAACAGTTGTAGGTATTTAATTTGATATATATAATATATATATTTTATTATTATAGTATTTTATTTTTGTTAGTGTATGATATATGTATATTATACATATATCATACACTAACAGATGTGAAACGTATTTTAAAACCTAAAAAAATTGATACTTATAAATAAGAGGTACAAAAAAAATAAATCCTAGGAAGGAGTTTAATATAATTATGGCACAAGAGTCTCCTATTTTGTAGTTGCGGCACTAGTCCCTACTGCAAAAACTTATAACCTCCGTAATAATAAATGTACGCGTTGTATTTTATTACTACGGAATTCCGTCTGAGTTGAATATATACTATTGTAGAACAATTACACATAATATGCACGTCGTGCAAACGGATATAACAAATACATAACATGATTCTATTCAAAGTACAGGCGATAAGTAGTATTTTGTGTTTCACGTGTACGTTTTGAATACTCAATACTATAACATAATTTAACACTTTTTTTTTTGTGACGTACGAGTATAACGCGTATGTGTGTGGAATATATGCGTTGTGCTATAATATCATTTTCACGGTAGGGTTAGTTCACTACTTTGCGAATTAAAATTATAATAAATAATTATACACTCTAGACGTTTTCGGGAAAGTTATTCTCTTTTTGAGTGTGGCTACTAGAATTTTATGAAATTATATATTATCGAAAACATGATGAATCGATCGAGGTTTTTAGTGTATAGTGTTTTAGTGTAGGTATAGCATACGTTGATGAATTACCACTAGGCAGTCTACATATGTTCTAATCGATTAAAACTTGAACTACGTACACAGATCTGCACGCGCAATCATCACAACACTTTTCCCGGCACCCCTATAAGGAATTACAATTAGCCCAACATACGATAATGTCGTACAATAAGCATAATTATTTATATGTATACGCAATGTTTACTTATCGCTGTTCGAGTTCCGTTCAAAATTTGTCTGTTACGTGTCGTCGGAACTAACAGTTTGCCGGGACGGGTACAATTGCCATTAATTATTTTGTTTATAAAGCGTACGCGTACGTGTCAATATAACGGGTATAAGCGCTAAATACGTTTATTTATACATCAACGGTCTGGAGTGATACAGAAAACGCTTTACGGTTAAAACGATCATCAGTGTCTCTATTTCAATTTGTGATTTACGCGGTAAAAAACTATATTAAGACATTATTACACTTTCTTTGCAGACCGTGTAGGATATGTTATGTAAATACGATTAGAGCATAAAATATGTTAATTTATGCGCGTTCACACGTATTCGAGATTGTTTAATCAAACGTGTTCTATAAATATATACGTAAACAATGTGTTTTTTGCGTTTTTTCGTGTGGTTCCAAACGTTTCAGTCGGCTTTCGATTATCTCTGAAATATACATGTACCGTATTTTGTACTGTTACAATAATTAGAATTTGTTTTTTCTACACACATTGTGTAATCAAAAGGATTTATGTTTTATGCTAATAATAATAATATGTGATATCTTCGTACGAGCAGCGAATCTCGAGTCACATCCAAATGCAATCCGTCCATATCTTAAGTGCACGGTCAGGCGAGTCAACAACGGAGTATACTATAGTAGTCAGTGGTGACGTCAGGATTTATTTTTTTTCGAAACATGATCGATTTATAGTATGATAAAATCGATAAAACCACTACGGCACACTGCTGTCAACGTACATATGTACATATGTATAGACAACTATTGATATAAATCACAACGTGTGCGATATGTGTGACGAACGTCATTCGACGATGGGACTGCGGCACGAGGCGAAGATGAAAAACAAGTAAACGATCAAAGGATTCAAAGATTTTCGATTGAAACGCGAATTCCTTAAAATGTCGTACTTTGGACTTTACACATACTCCGGTACCGTCCACGTGGGCTTCGATGTTTCGCGTAAAACAACGTTTACCCGTATTATTATTATCGTACACGTCCGTGCGGTGTCAACATTGGCACGAAAACATTCGTCAATACGACGCGTGCACGGGGTGGGCGGGCGAGCGCGTGGGGCACGGCGGGAACAAATCCTAGGGGGTGCGAAATATTAGATAAAAATAATAAAAAACAAAACAAAACAAGTATAATATACGAGCGCGGGCAGCATTACGTGCGTGTACATTTATAGAAATAAAAAAATAAACGTACGCATGTGTGCGGAGGAGAAAATAATAATACGAGTAACAAACGTACGGTGCAGGAGGTGCGCGCGCGCACGAGTGGGGCCGCGGGAGGAGACGCGAAAGAGGGAGGAGGGGAAAAAAGGGGGCGCAGCTGCGGCGACGGCGACAAATGGTGTCCGGACGACGGGTGCGCGTACGACGTGCGCGCGGCGACGACGCGGGCGGCCGCGGCTGGGCGTGAACGCGATTCCATTGGCCGGGGGCGTGGACGGCGGTGGCGGCGGCTACGGCGCAGCCGCAGCGACGTCGAGCCGCGACGCCGTGGCAGCACCACCGTCTTCGGTTCAGTCTTCTGACACCGTTCGTCTCGGTCGCACGTCTCACGTTCTGCCCGTTCGCGTACACGCACCTAATCGCCACACCGTTTTTGTTCACCAGTAACAACTACACCGCCGCGACGACGACCGTGTGTTGTGTTTTCGCATGATATCGTAACGTGTATTGTTTTCGATTACATAACGATCCGTAGCCCGCGCTCACGCGCGCGCGCGCCATTCGCTCAATCATTTTTTCTCCACCCGTTTTACGGTTCGCCAAAATGGTGACCAAATCGTTGAACGGACCCAGTTTCACGATCAACCACATCCTGGGCCGCTTGGACGTGGACGACGAGCGTGACGCCGACATCAAGAGCCCTGGGCCGTCGACTTCGCGTTCGTACACCACCGGCAGCGAGGCCAGTGACTGCAGTGGCGACGACTGCCTGTGCGCCCCCGTCGACTACAGCACGCGGCCCGGAAACAGCCCGTCCCCGCCGTCCGCGGGCGACCATCATCATCATCATCATCACCACCATCACCACCATCAACACCATAATCACCGCCGGCCGTCGTCTCCCACCGCGGTCGACAAGAAACCGCCGTCGGCCGACGATGACGACGACGACGACGACGACGACGTGGAAGACACCACCGCGGACGACCGCGTCGACGACGATACCGCCAAAAACGGCGACGCAAAGATAACAGCGACGGGTGAGCGCACCGAGGACGCGAAGAAAGAACCGGTGGTGGACGACAAGAACAAGAAACCTAACTACAGTTACAACGCGCTCATCATGATGGCCATATCGGAAAGCCCGCAGAAGCGACTCACGCTCAGCGGCATCTACGAGTACATCATGAACAAGTTCCCGTTCTACCGGATGAACACGCCCGCGTGGCAGAACAGCATCCGGCACAACCTGTCGCTGAACAAGTGCTTCGTCAAGATACCGCGGAGCTTCGACGACCCCGGCAAGGGGAACTACTGGATGATCGACCCGAACAGCAGCGACGTGTACATCGGCGGCACCACCGGTAAGCTGCGCCGTCGGTCCACGCAATCGTCCCGGCACCGCATCGCGTACCGGCCGCCCATGCCGCCGCATCACGTCGTTATGCCACACTCACCGCACCACCCCCATCATCACCATCATCCGCACATGGCGGCAGCTGCCGCCGCGGCGGCCGCGGCCGCTTTCTACCATCATCGCGGCGGCGTGCCGCCTCACCACCCCGCAGCGGCTGCGGCCGGCTGGCCCGGCGTGGCCGATTACCCGTCCGCCGCGGCGAATTTCGACTACCTGCACCAGTACTTCTGGCCGCCCGCATCTTCGTCCGCCTACCAGCAGCAGCCCTCACCACCGTCACCGCCCACCTCTACCGGGTACTCCATCAGCCAGCTGCTCAGGCCCACGCTCCAGGTGCCGCCCAAGAGGCCCACGGCTGTCATGCACCCGGCCGCTGCAGCCGCGACCGCGGGTGCCCTGCTGCAAGCGTCCATGTCAAGACACCAGTAGCAGTAAGAGAAGTAATGTTTGCGCGTGAGAGAATAGTCGCATCCTCCTCCTCCCACAACCCCGTTGTTAGTTACCTTAAATAGTATGAATTGTACAAAAAAAATTATTGCGAAAATGTTTGTCCGAGGGTGATCGAAGAAAATCCTGTATATTAATTTATTTTTTATTTTCTTCTTCTATCGTCACACGCGCGGCTTAGTTGATCTCTCGAAAAACTATTATTATTATTATTATTATTATTATTATTATCATTATCATTATTATTATCATTATAGTTTCCATCTTCGTGCGATGGTGCATTGTTTATATTATTGTGTTAATATAATTATTTCTTTATTTCGTTAAAACTGTATAAAATAGTATATAATATGCACCGAGATAACCTAACCTGTGGTCGTTATAAGTGTAATCTCCTCATCATCCTCATAAAATAATATTGTATCCGACACTGTGTACGAAATAATTTGTTCTAGTCACTCGAGACCGGCCTGATAAAATAAAAAAAAGCGTGTTTACGTTCTTTAAAAACATCATGTGTACGCATCTAGTACATCGGTTTACGACACGAGTAGGTACGTTAGGTATAATATTTAGTGTAATATCGTTTTACGATGTTATTCGCGTGGTTCAATATGTTTCCTATAATTATAATAATTAAAATGTTAACTACGTGTTTGTGTGTGTGTGTGTGTGTGTGTGTGTGTGTGTGTACAAAGCATCTCACAAGTGCCTTATTAAAACTACTATTATCATCTACGCCCGGCCTATATTGGTTGTGTACTGCATCTGAATAATAATATAACACAACGATGTGTCTATGTAATTTTTAGAGCGCAAATTATAATATTTTATGCAACGTTACAAGCAACACCGCAAAGTCGTTTCTGCGACGGTTTTTGAACTTTTTTGTAACTTTCATATGAACGTTTCGATGTCTTTCGGTTACGGTATTTTTGTATAACTAAAACATTATTTTGCACTGTGGGTATACGCGCGTGAAAGTGTATAAAAGTGGATACGTGCACCGTAATGTATAGTAATAATCAGGGTTCGGAAGTTATAGGAATTGCATATTGTTCTGTATGCTCTTGATTTATAACAGACCAAGTTGGAAATCCAAGTCATACAATGTCGAGATTAAAAATTGAAAATTAAAAATGCATACTTTACATATTTTATTAATTTTAGAGAAAAAGTGCATATTTCATCTATTTTCATTGATTTTCGCATATTTGTATGCATATTTAATATTTTCTAAAAAAAAGCAATTTTTTTCATTCTTAATTAATTTATTTTAAACAATGTTACATAACATAACGCTAATAACGCCGAAAACGTGCATCATATAAAACTCAATATTATTTTTCGTGGTTATTTATTGTTATTTTTTATTGTCTACTATGAATTTAACGAAAATATTGGTGGTCCAATGCTATCTTAACAGGTATTATACAAAATTTTATTTATTTCGTATTTCACAAATAATGAAAATATACTTGTTTAACTATTTTTTCAATAAAATCTCAAATGCCAACCGGTTATGCGTCATATTGTAGTTTTCAATAACACAATTTTTTTAAATAAAGGTTTTTAAAATTTACTAATTAACAAATAAATACATTTTATTTGTTGCATATTTCATATTATTTCATGCATATTTTATAATATTTTGCCTTTTTTGGCTCTTGTAACTTCCGAACCTTAGTAATAATCCATTGCAACGCTGCAGTCGCAATCGAGTATCTATTGTATAGTGTTTATCGACGAGTGAGTCGTAGCCAGCAGTCACGGCGCTTTGTGCGAACATTTTGAAAAATCGACTTTAACGCGTAATCGCCACGATTTCACGACGTTAACCTATACCTACGCGCACATTGTCGTCAAGTTATTTATTTATTTATTTTTTTTTTTTTTTTGTAGACACGCGTTTATCTCTCTTTCCTCCTCTCTTTCTTGGACTCTTTCTCTCCTTATTTCCAGAATATTAACCTCGCACAGTGTGCACAGTAGAACTATATAGCTGCTGCGTGTGCTCGTATACGTTTATTATACCTATATGTACATTTTTATAAGTGGTTCTTTGAGTCGCCGTACACGCAAAGTGACACGCCGAATTATTTATCGGCAAACTGCAGCAACGCGGTGCGAACATCTGCTCACAGTATTATTATTATTTTTTTTTATTCGTTTCAAAAATACCGCTGCTGCGGCTGTGTATTATTATATGTATTACGCTCTCGATGCGCTATTATACTATATGCGACAACGTGTTCTCGTGCCCGCGAGGGTTTATTACGCGCGCGTCGCCATTAAACGAGCGTGCGTTCGTGTGCGTGTGTTTGTGCGTATGTTTGTGTGTATGAATGCGAATTCGTACGGATTATCAAACGCACGGACTATATAAGTATCGTAAAAAAGAAGAGAAGAAAAAATTGTGGAAATAATACGCATAAAAGTCATAAACACGTTGACACGTCGTCGGAAATCGTATCGTTCGGTAGAATAACAATTTTATTCGCACAAAGAATAAAACTCTCATAGGTGTACAACATAAACGGTACATTATTTCAAACGAACCATTGACATTACGTACTGCGAATACATACATGTATGTACATCAGCTAGTGAGGAAAAAAACCCTATCTAACCTTTAATTTTATGGTCTTCGAATAGAAAATAAAAAGAAAAAACCTTTTCCAACCTATATGGTACGTCATATTGCACGCGGTTACGATATCAGAATTTTTTTATGCAAACAGCTTCTGTACCAGTGCCGCAAAAACCGGGTGTGCAGAGTGGGCCGCGCACACGGGCCCCAAGGCTTACATATATTTGAGAGGCCTCCTAGTCCCAGCCTAAAATAAACTACACTTTACAAACACACAATTATTTAATAATATTATATTATTATTTTATAATAAAAGAAACTTTTTTTAAAATTCAGGTAGGATGTTATAATATTTTAGAATAATTTAATATTTATTTAACAATGAGTCCATTGAGTATTTGAGTAGGCATACAACATATCTACCTAAACTACTTTAATAAATTTACTACATAATTATGTTGTGAAGTATAATATACAACAGTTGTAGGTATTTAATTTGATATATATAATATATATATTTTATTATTATAGTATTTTATTTTTGTTAGTGTATGATATATGTATATTATACATATATCATACACTAACAGATGTGAAACGTATTTTAAAACCTAAAAAAATTGATACTTATAAATAAGAGGTACAAAAAAAATAAATCCTAGGAAGGAGTTTAATATAATTATGGCACAAGAGTCTCCTATTTTGTAGTTGCGGCACTAGTCCCTACTGCAAAAACTTATAACCTCCGTAATAATAAATGTACGCGTTGTATTTTATTACTACGGAATTCCGTCTGAGTTGAATATATACTATTGTAGAACAATTACACATAATATGCACGTCGTGCAAACGGATATAACAAATACATAACATGATTCTATTCAAAGTACAGGCGATAAGTAGTATTTTGTGTTTCACGTGTACGTTTTGAATACTCAATACTATAACATAATTTAACACTTTTTTTTTTGTGACGTACGAGTATAACGCGTATGTGTGTGGAATATATGCGTTGTGCTATAATATCATTTTCACGGTAGGGTTAGTTCACTACTTTGCGAATTAAAATTATAATAAATAATTATACACTCTAGACGTTTTCGGGAAAGTTATTCTCTTTTTGAGTGTGGCTACTAGAATTTTATGAAATTATATATTATCGAAAACATGATGAATCGATCGAGGTTTTTAGTGTATAGTGTTTTAGTGTAGGTATAGCATACGTTGATGAATTACCACTAGGCAGTCTACATATGTTCTAATCGATTAAAACTTGAACTACGTACACAGATCTGCACGCGCAATCATCACAACACTTTTCCCGGCACCCCTATAAGGAATTACAATTAGCCCAACATACGATAATGTCGTACAATAAGCATAATTATTTATATGTATACGCAATGTTTACTTATCGCTGTTCGAGTTCCGTTCAAAATTTGTCTGTTACGTGTCGTCGGAACTAACAGTTTGCCGGGACGGGTACAATTGCCATTAATTATTTTGTTTATAAAGCGTACGCGTACGTGTCAATATAACGGGTATAAGCGCTAAATACGTTTATTTATACATCAACGGTCTGGAGTGATACAGAAAACGCTTTACGGTTAAAACGATCATCAGTGTCTCTATTTCAATTTGTGATTTACGCGGTAAAAA